AAGGGCTGTCTTGGGAGAGAAATGGCGAAAGGGTACACAAGGGTAGGTGACGCTGCTGCTGCGGAGTATCATTCGTTTGTGGACTTGATTCCTGTGCAGCTGTTGTTGTCTTCACATTAAAAACCATCCCGGTCTCTCTATCCAGTACCTCTTTCTGTCTCAATCTCTCCGTACTAATCCATCACTTGACTCGGCCAATTTCCGTGGTCACAGGCTAACGTACCTGTTGTGCAGCAAGGTTAAGTTGTACCGCTGGGGGGGCGGGAAAGATAGTGAATATTTCACTGACGACGCACGAAGTTGACGGGACATGTTCTGACGCTTCCGTGTACATGGGAGAAGAGGCCATGGCACGAAATAAACAAGACGAATGTCGATCAAAAACAGGTCGGAGAGGGGGAGACGATAAACGCGCCCGGAACACAACAAATAGTCCGTGAATGACACACAGAAGTACAAGACAACAAACACGTTCTTCTCGGTCGAGACAAGAGTTCCAAGAGTTTCTTTGCTGTCAAAGATTCCCAAACAGTAGCAACAGACAAAGACGCGAATATCGTCAAAACACCATGTATGTTGGCGCTGCAGCGAACTGACCGTCGTCCTTCTGCCAAGAGGCCGGTCCTCTTGCACACCCCACAGAGTGCTGGCATAACAAAAATCAAGAGAGTTCCTCAAACCAAAATCAACATGTTCGCTCGGGTGCTCGCATGCGCACATAGTCAAGAACCAACAGCCCGACACCATCCTGCGGCAATTCGCGTGAGATTCATGCCCTGAACTTGCCTAACCCACAACAGGCGGGCCAGACCAGGCCAGGCCAGTACCGCCACTGCTCAGCCATTACACCGGTCCATCCTTCATGAAAATTAACTACGCGACGAAAGGCCACAGACTAAGTTCAATACACACAGCATACACAAAGCAGCAAGAGCGACAAAAAGGAGGACGCACAACCGAAAAAAGGACGCACACACGGGAGATGGCCGTCGAAAACAGGCGTGAGGCTGTAGTGCTTTGTGCTCCATGATCATACCCATCTAGTCAACGGAGACAACACCGTTCATAAAGATAGCGGTCGAAAACAGCGCACTCCGACATCACGAAGCACGAGGTACTAGTTACTCATCTAGTCAATAGAGACAACACTAGACTGCACGCCGCCCTGCGACGGGGCGGGCGCTCCCTGAGACAGGACGGGTGCTCCCTGAGACAGGGTGGCCGCTCCCTGCGACGCGGCGGGCGCGCCCTGAGACAGGGCGGGCGCTCTCGTACTGGGAGTGGGCGTCAGGCGGACATTGTAAGAGGACGACGAAGCGTGCTCTCCCCTGGATGGGATCCTCTTCGTGCTTTGGGGTCCTTTTCCCTTGGGGCGGCCAGCCTGGTTGGGCACCCAGCGCGGAGGCAGAATGTCCGGGTCAACCGTCAGTTCGTCCAGAACGGGCAGCTGCACCTCGAACCGGCTGTCCCCGTACAGGGCACGGTACGTGTCCAGGTGGTAGGCCGGGTCGATGCTTGCCATGACCTCGTCAGACTTGTTCAACACTGCGCCATTGACAGAAATAAGGGCAGGGCCAGGCGGTCGAGGAAAGAGTACATGAATGAGCGTCACGAGGCATCGTCATGGCAGCATGTTTCTTCCCGTCAAACCTTTTGTCAACGCAGTTCAGAAGAAAAGCGTCGACTCACAAGCAATCCTGGTATTCCCGGACAACGTCTATCGCCCGTTGGCATGCATACTTCACGCGGAATAAGCTCCAACGCGCCGATGCATACCTACTTCCACGGCGGCATGAGAGGGGCACGGTGGGCCCCTGCAGGCTGTGGCAACACTTGACTCAACGACACTGCACCTCTTTTCGCCAGTCCAGACGGGCTGCGCCAAACTGATACGAATGCCGGGACATTTGCTGCTCACCTCGCCCGACAGCGATGATGTCGCAGCACGGGATCTTGAATCGAGTCGTGAAGCCGCAAGTGCAGCTCATGAGAGTCACCCCGCCATCTGTGCCGCCGAATTCCAGCCTCACTCGGTTGCCGTATTGGCTGCCTCGTTTGCGAACAGTGAAGTTGCAATTCCCGGTGGCGCTGGAGTGTAGGCTGCGATACGACGAGGGCGCGAGGGTGGGATGGCGAAGAATGAACGACATTATGTTGTGCAGTTGCTGCAGGAGGCAGACACGTTAACCCCAGCGTCAACACAACACCGACGGAGAGATGGCACCGGTACCCGCAACAGAACAAGACTCATTACAAAACGAAGGTGAAAAAACAAGAAGGGCATTTTGAATTTGATTTTCGAATCGGAGTCGGAGAGATTTTCCATCCCCAAACTCAAGATAGAACTCTCTTCGACCTGCCGGAAAGAGGCACAAGTACAGTTTGGTAACTCGTACAAGTTGAACATGTGGGACGGTGGTAGCGGAGACCAAATTCTTGGCGTATTTGTTTTTGTTTTCGGAGTCTTGATTTCATACGGAAGATGCCAACCGTACATGCAACGAAGCACATAATACCCGGAACTCTTGTACTGCCCGGGTGTGTATTGCATTCGGGATGGCACACGCCTTACAAATTGCCTCGTCGTGCCTGTAAAAAGCTAAGCGTTATCATGTTTGGGGGAATTTAACCACCTGGGTCGGAGAGATGGCACCGGCGTGCGAAACAAAACGAGACAAAAATGTGTAAAACAACGATCGCACGTGCCCTCGCCGCCCTCTACCGTGCACATATCAATGAAGCACTACAAAACTGGACAAGCGTGCGAACATTCTAGATGCAGACGGATCCCAAGCGCTTTGCTGTGCCTCGTGGGGGGACGGTTGCACAGGCCTTCTCCTAGCCAAACGCGGGCGATGGTCTGTACCACTTACTTGCTGGACTTCTTGCGCTGAGCCCCGTACTCCTTCGCGGCGTGAGGCGTAAACTTCTCCGAGGTGCCGTCGCGAAGTTCAGCCCTCTCTGCCATATGCGCTGCGGTCTTGTCAAGGATGTACTCCATCATGCCGAAGGGCGGCAACTTCCTCCCCTGGGGATAAAGTTACGGCGGCATTGTTAGGACTATGGCGACCAGAACAATAGCTTGATATTTTTTGGCTGCTGACTCTGACACCAGATTCTTGGCGTACTCATGCTCTTTCCGGTCGCGCGTGCTTAATGCGGCGTGTATAAGACGTGCGCACCCCACTTTTACCCACGAGCCTCTTGGCGTTTCGTGAATGAGAGCAGTACTATCGTGTGAAGACATTTGGCCACGAAAGGCTACAGATGCGGGTAGGCGGTGTGGCGTCTTCGGCAAAACGCGGACGTCCCCTGCATCTTGAGGACGAACAACCGTATCCTGCGAACGTCGTCCCACCGTCCTGAGGGAGAGTTAGTGCCGCCCCCTCAACGTCACTCTTCAGATAACCACGCTGTCCAAGATTCGCTTGGCGTGCTCGACACCAATGAAAAGGACCACAAGGACAACTCAATACGATGGGGTCATGAGGCAACATCTAGGCACACTCGCCATGCCAAGAGTAGACGGAAAAACACGGTCACTATTGCGTTTGCTGAGGATAATTTCGACAGCCTTGACCCCGGACGAAACGCTCAAGCAACCGTTACGACACCCGTCCAACCCATAACAACAAACAATCCTTACCTCCAGGCCAACCATGGCCATGTTTTGCTCGGCCGCGTTGGACGACACGACTGAACCGATGGCTGTGTCGGGTGGTCCGGCGTGGTGCGTCCACTTCACAAGTTCACTTTGTTGTTTCGAAGGGTTCCCGTGCTTGTCCGCGGGGGCCACAAGAGCGTCGTAGACCTTCGGCTTGAAGGGCTTGACGTTGGAGTCCATGATGTCCATGAACTTCTTGAGGGTTGGCGCCCTGGCGGCGTGGTAGAGAAAGCCGGTCACAATCTGCGGAGGCCAACGAGAGCACATGAAAGTTGGAAGGACAGTATGTCAGGACACGCGTTCTCTTGAAGCCAGAAGCCACGGGCCCGCAAAGGGTTCGTGACAAATGAAGGGCATGAGTGTTGCACTTTTGGTGCGGGTGGAAATCAACATAAACTAATGCCCAACATCAGGTGAACCCGTTTACACGCTCCAACATGGATAGAAGGTAGAACCTTAGATTGATACAGCTGCAGAGTGCAATTTGTATGCTTGGCACAGCGGCTACGTTTGACTTGGGCACATGTGTTCCCCTGCTGAACGCACGGTTTTGGTCAGAAAACACACGCGTGAGGTGGTTCATGGCAGAGAGATGTGCACGCAAAAAACGACAATAATCTTCAAGCCTCGTGCCCAAGAGGTTTGGTATCGCGTGCTGTTACAACTACTCCCCATGCTCAGTGCGTCGAGAAAGCAGCGCATTTCTGCCGAACTTCGTTTTCGACAACCGTCCAGCCCCGCGAAACATAGAGGCATCATTTCATTAACTCTTCATTTTGCCACTGCTGTTCGCTACCAGGAGAGAAAAGCAACAGCAGGTACACAAACACACCATGCTGGCGTCTTGTTGTTTGTCAGCCTTGTTGGCGCGGTCGATGCTAATGGTGAAAGATTAAAAGAGGATTAAAATAGAGCACGTTGGGCCGGTAGGTTGTACTTTCACGTGCGAGTTCCATCCCGCTACAGCCCGCACGAGGCGAGCAATGTCCGACAATTGAAACGCACAGGAGATCTACGTGCACACTCGCCCGAAAAGCTGACAATCATGAGTACGTACGAGACGAACGTTCAGAAGATGCTGGGTCGTGTGTACTGAATTGCTGTTGCAAATTATCAGCAGAAGCACGAGGCGAGCAATGTCCGACAATTGAAACGCACAGGAGATCTACGTGCACACTCGCCCGAAAAGCTGACAATCATGAGTACGTACGAGACGAACGTTCAGAAGATGCTGGGTCGTGTGTACTGAATTGCTGTTGCAAATTATCAGCAGATGTAGACGGACAGGCTCTCCGGTTGTGACGAGAGACAGGACAAAGGGAACTTGACTGTGTGTGTACTCAGGTACATCTTTCAACACTTGTTTGCAGACAAACACGAAGACAAGGAGGAGGAGTACAGCCTTTGTGTTGGGTGTATACCCTCTTGCACTCATGTGCGTAGTGTCTATGCCAACAGAGGCACAAGGTCACAACTCTTCTCACCGAGCCAGGGGCCTCGGGAAGTCTCCGGATTACATGCCGAAGGCACCACCTCCACACAGGTTTGGACGCGTGGACCCTGATGGCAGGTTCGTGCGACAGGTGCTTGTCGGTGAACAGGGTGGTCTTCGGGCTGTTGAGTACCTTCGCCATCTCCGCGTTGTTCTTCATCATCCTGTAGAACCACGAGTAGTTGTCGGCGTTCTCCTTGTCGCAGATGCCCGTCGCCACGTGCATCAACCTGTTGTCGGCGTCCATGCCCGTCGCGACCAGCATCATCCCGTTCCAGTCACCTTTCAAGTGGCCGGCATCCACGCACAGGACCTTTCACAGACACAAGTATGGAATAGGAAGCCGGGTCGACAAGGGAGTCAGGTTAACTGGTTCGGGCGTTAGTCATAGAAGACTCACGTAGCTCGCGGCCACCCAAGTAACTCCTCAAGTAAACTAAGCGGGGGGTAGACGAAGGAAACCACTCGTGTGGTGAACCAAGCAAAGCACGCGTTAGGGGGGGGGGGGGGGGGGGGGGGGGGGGGG